AAAAATGGTATGATCAGAAACAGATGAGTGCTCCAGAACTGAAGGTTAGGGACGAGGTGATGCTGGACCGATGCAACATCTTAACCAAGTGACCCTCAAATAAGCTAGACCACCAAAAAAAAAAATGGGTCCCGTTGAGGTTGTCGGGAAACTTGGCGTCGCGTCCTACAGGCTGAATCTACCCACTCAGTGGAACATTCATGATATCTTCCATATATCTCTGCTGGACCCTCAACGAGCTATACTGCTTCCACCTCCGGATGAGGTTCAAGGGGAAGGCAGTTACGTTCTCAAGAAAATAGCCGATAGCCAATGACAGCAGGCTGGTCGTGGGAAGAAGTTCGTGCAATATCGGATTACCTGGGAGGGTTATCTCTCAGAAGACTCTTGGGAACCGTACAAATTGTTGTAAGGAATGGCAGACGAGCCACTCCGAGAGTTCCATGCGAAGTATCCCCGAAAATCATGGGACGCATGGTAATACAGGAAAGTGCGGGAAACCGAGACGACGGAGTGTTCTGGGATAAGCGTGGAGAAAACGAGTCTCCCCTTGTTAGGTCACACGTTTCACTTGAGGTTTCCTTTGTCAATAGAAATGGATGCAAAAAATAGAGTGTAACGGAGCCATTTCAACTGTCTGGTGTATGAGTACACACAGGGCCCGGTTACATGCTGAGAGTTATTGATAGAAGCCAGTTGCACAGTGACATGCAAGTACCGGCAGTGTGGTTAGCTACCAGCTGTCGGAGTAACTACATTCTGAGCGCTAGGAAGAGGATCTATTCATGGGAGCAATGATTGACGAGTCTATGCCTCGCCAATGATTAGAAGGCCAGCCAGAGTGAAGCTCTGAGTGCTCGGCGATCATCTACATCCTCTGAGCATGATAAGTCCGCCGGTAGTGGCAGGGACTACGCCTGGGAAAGTCTACAATAAGTAAAGAGCTCTACAGCAATGATTAAGCTTACGCCTGAGCGGTAGCTCATTCATGCAGGTCCCGGTTGTGCGACAATCAAGACTGCAGGTGTTACAAAGGCTTTGACTAAGGGTGGTTGCCTTCGGAACCGGAAGCACCCGCTAACGCTTAGAGAGAAGCGGGGTAGCGGTGGTATTGCTTCCCTTCCGCTAGAAGGGATCACCAGAACTTAGTAAGGGAGTAGGAGCAGGGAATGGAATCCTTTGGAGTATAAGTACTCAGGATCCTTCCCGCCCAACTATCCGATTTCCTGATTTCTATCTTGCACGGCCAAATCCTTTCTCTCGGATTCTAGCGATACGAGGAAAGGCTGTCCCCGTTACATTGAGTTTGTATGGAATGATTATTAGAGCTACATTTTCTTGTATGCTCATAACATACCATACCAAAAAGCCTAGGTTAGACTCGGGACGAGTCTACCGGAGGGAGGAGTAGTGTAACAGGGCCACAGTAGGGCTGTTACAAAAATACCTGTTCTACCAGTCAAGCCATACGGCCCTAGGTTAACCGCAGCTGGTTCTTCATCGATGGGTGAAGAGAAGGGCAGATGAGCCCCTACCTCTATTGGTATAGAGGGTAGAGATCCTGGCGAGCAAGAAGTCTTACAAGTCAAGCTAGACGACTGGACCAAAACTAGAGCAGCAGGACGAGCAGACCAAATAAGGAAGGGTAACCCCAAACAAAAGTTACCCTACCTTGGCATTCAACCTTTGAGGCGCAATAACTTTGCAGCCGATGCCCCGGAAAATATGCTTTACCACGTCAGAAAGGATCCTGGCGATGCTCCGGTCCATTTGGGGTGGTTGAATGAACGCATTGCGGAGTTGAGGAAACACTGCAAAATAAACACGTTTTAGACCCCCAAAAATAACCCCCGGAGCGTCGAACCGCCGGAACCCTCCTGTTTCAGCCCGGTGCATCTTTGGGGGGAGTAAGAGTGCGACCCAAACTACCAAAGCAAACCTTTGCTTTAAAAACACCCAAATCTATTCTAAATACTCTGAATAAGCAATTGCTGTCTGGTCGGCTGTTTCCTCTAGTTCCTAGGATCCCGACCCTTTTCTTGGCAAGGATTGCGAGATTTGACTCGGACGAAAATTCGTCCGCGGTGTGGTAGCAACTCTTCTCCTCCCCCCTGATAGAAAATAGGTGGTGCCCCCAGATTATTTGAAAGGCGGACGGCCAGTGAAAAAAGGAAAGAGGTAATGAAGGAAGGGGCGCCGAACTTCCATAAAGGAACTCGGTTGCCCCAGCTTGGTTTCGGGGGGATCAGGGAGTCTTTACCAGCGAGGAGCCCCCTTAAAGTTATTAAGTTTCTAGACTACAAATAACGATCAAACAAATGAAACTCTATCTTTCCATCGAACGAGCCGAAAGAATAGCTTGTCGAATTCCTTTCTGCCTATCTACCTGATCGAAGTCACGGTCGCGCCCCTTCAAGGCACCCCCGTTACACCAGCTGTCAGAGCAACTACATTCTGAGTGCTAGGAAGAGGATCTATTGATGGGAGTGATGACTGATGAGTCTATGCCTCGCCAATGACTAGAAGGCCAGCCAGAGTGAAGCTCTGAGTGCTCGGTGATCATCTACATCCTCCAAGCATGATAAGTCCGCCGGTAGTGTCAGGGGCATTGCCTGTGAAGTCTACAATAAGCGAAAGCTCTATAGCAAGGATTAGGCTTACACCTGAGCGGAGCTCATTCCATGCAGGTCCTGGTTGTGTGACAACTCAGGCTGCAGGTGTTACAAAAGTCTTTGACTAAGGGTGGTTGCCTTCGGAACCGGGAGCACCCGCTAACGCTAAGAAAGAAGCGGGGTAGCGGTGGTATTGCTTCCCTTCCGCTAAAAGGCATCACCGGATCTTAGTAAGGGAGTATGAGCAGGGAACGGAATCCTTTGGAGTATAAGTACTCAGGATCCTCTCCGCCCAACTACCCGATTTCTCCAGTCTTCATCAAAAAGGTTATCAAGTATTCTACTCGGTAGCAGAGCCCTTAAAGATTATTCAGTTATTAGCGATAAATCTTTAGGAATAATCTAAACCTGATTTCTATCTTGCACGGCCAAATCTTTCTATCGGATTCTAGCGATACGTGGAAAGACTGTCCCCGTTACATCGGCTATCGGTTGGCGGACTTAGACGATCTCATTTATAAGTACTAGTAATCTATTATGATGTAGGCCTACCCTTTACTAGATAGGCCTCGTGGCTACGACGAGGGATATAAGTAACGAGCCATTCCCTGACTAGCTGGAATCATTGGCGAAATCAGAGCCTTAAAAGTATATCTTTGATTAGACCTCGGTAACAATAATCAAGAGTATTGTTCAAGTTTAGGGGATTACTGTATCTTCAGCAGTATTCCATTGCGCATTTCATACTTCTTACTTCTAGTGTGACGATTACTTCACCTAAAATCCATTCGTCAAGGCAGGATGCCTACCTGAACCCGACCAAGGAAATCAATAGTGGATGGCCACGAAGCCAAGGGGAGCTCCGGTGGACGGTCTACCAGTGACCATAACACCTCTAGGCCTTCTCGCGCCATAGGCGTTAAAAGATGAGATATCACATTTTGTATACTTACTAGACGCAAAAGACTACGTGTCACATTTTGGGGCAGCGGAATGAGATTTTGTGAGGTTTTGGGCGTGGAAGTTCGTCCTGGCGAAACCCATTTTTTGCTGATGAGCAACCTTGCCAAATCTATATCACATAGTTTTGGCCAACAGAATGTAATTCCCAACACCGGAGAAAGGAAATCTTTTATATTAGGGAGATTTAGCTACGGATTTTCCATAACTATAAAGCGAATTTACAGGAATTTTGGGGTTGTAGCCGTAGCAACCCGCCACATGTTTGGTTCTAAGGGGTTATCGATCATTGGTACCTCAGTTAAATATCTTCCATAACCAAGGGTTCTCGATAACTATAAGATGAGAAAATGGGATAGTGCAAGCAGCACCTTCAACAAAATAATGAGCTCGGTAAGGTCAGATTCACAACCACACAAACAAAATCATATTTTTTTGCAAGTTAACACAAGATTTTGATTTTGTCCTTAAGTATATTTCTAAAATTCAGATAATAATACATGGCTTATGGATATCGGTGTATGGTTGGCTAAAACTCCTTTTAGTTATATCCTATAAGTGTTCACCAGCCTCCAATCTTTTTTAGTTGTCGTTTGTAGCTAAATCTCCCTATTCACCAGTTTTCACTTTTAACATATCAGGTTCGGTAACACATTGCGATTCGGCCTGACACCCAAGGGATAGTGGCGTGTTGTGATTAAGGAGAACAACGGATCTCACTTGAATACTACCTCTTCTCGAAACTCTCACGAATATGAAGCTTGCAGAGGTTCTTGCAGATCTTACAAGTCTGAAGACTATTGTATTTGGCCCTCCGAGATTATAATTCCACCCGAAATCAGTTATGCTTACTTTCACTTTTGTATTTTAGAGTGCAGTCGACGCTTTGAATCTTGTTTCCCCGAACTATACCAGGACATCGTCCATGAAAACGGAGGATGATGACTTGACTCGTGCCGAATCTTTTTTGACCCTACAGTCCGAACAGGGCACCCGAGAAAGTTTGGTCCGAAAGCAGAATGACGTAAACTACGTTGCAGAAAGGCTGGAGCTTACGATTAGTATCAGATCTCCTAAGTGATACAGCTAGCCTTGTCTACTAGAATTTGTTCCTAGGACGTGTTATATTTTTGGGCTGTTCGTTTGAAGTGTATGCATAAAGTTATGGAAATTACATGCAGCGGTCACCACGCCATTGCTTCTATTTGACTTAATTTACCCTAAACTCTATATTTACAATTCCAACGTACAAGTTTATAGCCAATCTAGATAACCCGAATATTGTGGAATGGTCCAATACGTGTAACCTTATCCAAATTACCTCTACAGTTCAATGAAACTTTGGATTAGTAAATGAATAGTACACATGTATGTTACAACTTCACGTTTGGTTGGCTTTCTCAAGAACCACTTACTTTCTCTGCACTACTACCCGACTGTGCGTTTGCTAGCTTCTTCATCAGGTGTCCTCTTATCATCTTCCTTCTCGTCGATGTCTTGGTCGTCCTTCACATTCCTCTTAGAGGCCGATTCGCCCGCAGATCGTTGTTCATTCTCCTCTTCAATGAGCTCCTGCTGCTCCCTCAAAACCTCCAGTCTTTGCTTGTTGGTTGCTGCTCCCTCTGCAGTGTTAACCTCCAACTCAATTTCATGATAAAGTTCTTCCGGAATGCTACTCAAGACAGCAACCAATGCATCATAGTGAGATTCAATCTCACTCTCTTTTCCTTGATACATGAATGCATTGGATAGCACCAGAAGAGTAGAGGGGAGCCCATGCTTCAGGCGAAGTTCAAGCCAAGTGTTAAGGTCGTCCCTTAGTCGCCCCGGACTGACTCCGTGGGTGCGTATGCCCGGGATGCACAAGCAGTTTGTAATTCTGGGACGGATAGCGAATCTACCCCTTCGTAAGAGATGGCACGGTCGTCACGTTTGATCTGTCGCATTCGGTGGCGAATGTTGTATCGAAGAATCGCATCCGTGCCAAATGTATTCAAATTCATGTAACGACACATGCCCACAAGTTGAGCTCTTGAAAGATTATCAAGAGTAAGATCATCGCGGAAGATCTTGCAAACTTTATCACATCTTCGTGACTGGGGGATTCTCCGCTCGACCGATCTAATTGTTAGAGAGATTAGGCATCGTCCTAAAAATATATATTTGTATAATAAACACCTTTTGAAAAAACTGCGCGAACTCTTCTCTTTGCCTTGTCTTAGCACTTAGTTGGATGCCGCCTTCACGCATAGTTGTTCTCAAAAAGTTTGAGACGTCCTTGCGAGTTGAGCGAAGCTTGCTTGACTTCAAATCTTTGGCTTTTTGATCCTCATATGTGCTAGGGAGTAAGTTTGGAAATATTTTGAGTGCGATGGGTAAGAAGAGCTCTCCGGCTGGTACAATTATGAAAACGGAGAATGGAACAAGACGGCCTAGATCCTTGACTGTACGTTCAAGCTGTATCAACGATGTTAGGTCGAATGACGACTAAGAGATTAGATCATGAAGAACATACCTGACGACGTTCCCTCCGGTGAGCTCGTAGCCTGCTGCCATTTTCAGCGCCAAATTTGACGATATTTTAATCTCGGCACCGAGAAGCTTTGTCCCATCCCAAAAGTGCTGCACCCCATGTTTAAATTTTCTGCCACACAGTCGTCTTTTTTTCCTCCTTTTTCTTATCATGGGATTTTCCATTGATTGCGGGGACCACGGTAACTTCTTTGCCATCGGCTGCCTCTGACCTTGCTGGGGTAGTCCAATTTGCCCCAGTTTCACAGCCGTTGAAGGAATAGTCGTTTCACCTAGGTGTACTTTTTCTGTGACAACATCTCGAGCTAATGGCTTCCTAGCCTCTTGAGCATCGAAACCGGGGGGGGGTATAACTGTGTTACTACTAGGAGTAGATGTTTCTGTATTCAAAAACCGTTGAGAAGCAAACAAGATGTAAGCCGGCCGGTCGTGAGCAACCCATGATCTTAAAAACTGTCGGCTAGCAGATATCCCAATAGTAGATTGAAGCGAACCGCGATTGGCTTTAGAATGTTGTCAGAAAAAGAGATGAAATATATTTAGTAATTATTCGGGGGATTTGAATCATGTACTGAAGAAAGAATGAAAGATCGCTGGGTTGCTGGGTTAAGAAGCAGTTTTGAAGCATTCATTGCTTGAGATGTGTATCGAAAACTGGACTGAATGATGGGTAATTGTTGGAATTGCGCGCAGGACGGAGAATACTAGACACAAGTACTTGTGAAGGGAGAGGCACGAGGCAAGGAGGGGGAGGAAAGAGAACGTGAGGATGTGATTCAAGACTCGTGGCTTAAGATCGACCATGCATACAGTCATGTTCTAGAAGCTATCGCTTCTCAGACTTCAGGGGTTGATAATTTTTTACAATCCCTTGTGAATTTCAATTCTCATACAAACCCATTGTTTATTCTTCGGACAAGGTATGATGCCATTGCCCTAAGATCTGTAGGGCTTAGGTAAGTCATCTGATACGCATTCTCGTCCGAGTGATGTCTATGAATATACATACCTACGTCATTAATTTATGTATATATATACCACCAATATAACACTCCCTTATTGCTTGAATTCCTGAGATGCTCATAATATGGCCCACCCAGACTGACTATTTTTCTCTACCTTCCTAAGCTTGGGGTGATCATGGCTTGTTGGGGGCTAGAGACTTAACCACAGCATTCAATACTGTGATAAATTTGGTTGCATGGTATCATGCTCTGAGATAAAACTAAGTATTCGCCAAAGAGAAAGTGTTCGGATGGAATTTGACAACAGGAAATAAATACCTCTGGAGGTATGTGTGAAAACAATGGTATTTTGTGGTGTCAAACCCAATAATTTGGGTCATACGATCACACCTTCCTACTCGCAGTGAATACCATGGTATTGGATGTCTGTCCGAACAGAGCCTAAGTACATTACATATTAATAATATCCAGTCCTGATTGAATCCAGCTTTTAACCTATCAACTCATTCGAACTTAGTTATTGTTTTGTTAATATTGTAACCTTCAGCTAACCTTAATGAGCGTACTCAATAAATGAATTAACAATAGCAATTAATGAGAGAGCCGCTCTCAAACGTTGCTATTCACGTCGTATCACTCGATAACTCTGCTTAGTTGAGTTTTAAACGACTAAAAATCTATTTCGTAGTACCGGCCGACGCGCTACGCTCAATCGATGTATCAAAGTGCTTTTGTTCTACAAGCCGCAAGAACAGTATTATAATTGCATGGTGTACTGTAACTGTATTTGGTATCCTTCTGACATACTTATTTCACGCCTGGCAAGCAACCCTAGCCAAAACTGACGCTTGTGAATGCCGGCTTTGAAGAGTGGAGTTTCAATTGCCAGAATTGACTGTTAGTAAATACGCTCTAAGAGTGAGTATCTTCTTCTGCGTTTATCTCCCACCAGTGTGTATTTATATCAGTTCTGTTTGAATAAAGTTGTAACCCCAGGACACCACAAAGCAATTTGAAATCTCGTACTTTACTACAGATACATCTATTGAACCGCCAAATAATAGTTTCTACCTTTGAAATGCAAGTGAGGAAGGAAACATGCAAGATGAAGACAAACTGTTGAGAGAAAATCTTATTTTGCCCATCCTTTCTTCTACAACTAGCTTTATAGGCCGTTTATCAGCAGCCTAATTTATACAAAATCCCACAACGTTCTAATACCAAGCAAAAGATTCTAGTTTCCACTTTTTAAATCATAGGATTAGTTTTATATTGTGGTGCGGCCCCATTGACTTCGCTCTTTTTTGCTTCGATACTAACAGCCCAAAGTCATATATTAGTAACAGGCAATTTATAGTTAGTGGTTCGACTAGAGGAAATTTGGAGATATACATAGGTTCTGAAGCATCCTCTTCTTCTTCCGCCAGCAGTCGCTCGGCCTCCAATGCTGCAATACATCCTGAGCCTAAACCTCTAGTTAGAATATACAACTACCGAGTCCAAAAACCACAGAACACTTACCCGCGCTTGTAATTGCCTGTCTATACCGTTTATCCTGCACATCCCCGGCAGCAAAAACACCTTTGACACTGGTGTATGAAGTACCAGGGGTTGTTTTGATATAACCGTCCTCATCGGTGGCGATCTGGTTTTTAAATAGGGAGGTAGCCGGTTCGTGCCCGACAGCATAAAATAACCCATTGGCTGGCAACTCGCTAATCTCGCCTGTCACAACATTTTTGATTGTGAGGTTTTGTAAAAGCCTGCCGTCCCCTTTTGCTTCTGTGGCCACGGTATTATACAAAATCTCAACCTTTGGATGCGCCGTGAGACGCTTAGCCATGATGTTAGATGCCCTAAGCTTATCCTTTCGCACCAGGACCGTCACTTTACTCCCATATTTAGTCAAAAAGATTGCCTCCTCCGCAGCCGAATCGCCACCCCCAATCACCGCCAAGGGTTTATTCCTGAAGATTGGTACAGCTCCATCGCAGACAGCACAGGCGCTGATGCCACTTTGCCAGTATTTCTCTTCACCAGGGAGGTTAAGTCGTCGCGCCGATGCACCAGTTGCAATAATGAGAGTATCGGCGGTGTGGGGCGCAGCATCTTCACTATACTCGAGCCAGTACTTGAATGGTCGCTCTGACAAATCAACTTTGGATACTGTCTCTGTAATTATCTCAGTGCCGAATCTTGCGCTTTGTTCTCTCATGGCTTCCTGTTGAATATATCACATGTAAGTTCCGTACGGCCTTCTTGGGGAACGAGTGATACAACTCGTATAAAATTGGAGGCCCTACCATAAGTTCTTGACCACTAATCCCATTTGGAAAGCCAGGATAGTTCTCAACATCAGTTGTTGTAGTCAATTGGCCGCCGGCGGCAATCCCGTTTGCAAGCATTCCCTCGTACATAACGGCTGAACGATGTCGAGGTCAGTTAATTAGTCCACTGAAGGCAGTATTCAATGAGAAGACAAACGTTTCAGTTCTGCACGAGCTAGATAGACTGCGGCTGTATGGGCAGCAGGGCCCGAACTATAATGGAAAATGAAAGGGGGGGAAACGTTAAATTCCGTGACATCGCGATGGCGGGGTAAGCAACTCATACCCAATAACTGAGGCGGCATAAAATCAGTATGTGCGCAGCCAGAAGAGAATCCAATCAAATAAGGACGAACTTACTGACGACCTTGCTGTGCATTGAAGATGATTTGCCAAATAAAAAGTTCGAGTTGTGTAGTTGTTTCTGTTGGGTCCAAAGAAGTGTAATGGCACCGGAAACGCCTAGCAAAGGCCGGAAGGAGTACTTAAGAAAGCGTGGTGAAAACGTTTTGTCTGATCTATCAAACTACTTCACAAGTGGATCGCTTGTGAATAATTGTTTTAAACAAATGCGAAGAGAGAGAAGAGAGTAGGTGGAATTACAGGTTTAGTTTGGAGGGGTTGCAATGCAGGGTGCGGAAGGAAACAGAGACAACACAGGCAAATAACCGTAGCTGGTAGTATTAAAAGGAAGAACGGGGTGGTAAAGTAACACAGTAAGTGTATTTACCAATGTCGCTGAAGAAGTTGATGCCGAAGTTAAGGAAAGGATGGGGGAGCAGAAGGAGAAGAGCATATAAGTGGAAACAGAAGACCAGAGAAATAGAAGTTCAATAGAAGTGTTGCTGATGTGATGATGAGCAGCGGCTCGAATCGAGACTTGTCTAATAGATGATCCGGCCTAACGGGTTCTTCCTTCGCCCTTCCCTAATTGGCCGACGCAGTTCTTTTATCGGCCTGTTCCCTTACAATGTTATAGTGGACCCGTTCTGGAGCACTACCTGAGCCTGCTTACATATACATACATGTAGGTATGTACCGGGTGTTGAGGGTAAGTGATCAGAATCTGATAAGGGAATGCTGCGGTGAATACGTGTTATTTCTTATCAGATTCTGATCCCTTCTTACGTTTTCACGACATGTGGCGATTGGTGGCTCACCATACAAATTGTAGAAGCTAACTGCAAATGTCGGCTGGCGATGCAAGATGGGCCCACTTGTCACGCAAAAGTTCTCTAAAAGGTAGTGGAGTATACTAACATGTTGTGCACCTTTTAACCCGCTACTTATTTATTTTTTGAAATTAACCACCATAAACTGTGTTCCAACCACATTACACAAGCCCAAAAGTTTTTATCACTTAGACCTCAACCCTCACCACGATGCCAAGCCCACCCCTGACATAGTCACTATCCTCTCACAAATGAGGTTCGGAGAGCTTGATGAAGACCTTACCGGCGTGACCAACACCAACATCTTCGCCACTTAAGCCTTCTAGATGCTCAACGCGGAGAACATATCAGCAACCCGTGCATGTCTTCAGGAGACACCAGAGGCTTTAAGTTGGGAGACACCCCACCAAATTTAATTTTCTGGAGGCGGTTGGCCCGTTTGGAGGCCTCCTTTGCCTTCGCTAACATCAGCAAGTTTGTACATATTCATGAGCCTCCCAACAGTCTCCTGAGTCTCCTAAGGATCTCCTGAGAAATCAAAACGGATTTTGATTCTCTGGAGATTCAGGAGATACTTTACAGAAATTGTTAAGCTTGCTGTTGAATGCTCAAGAGGCTCTCGCAATCCTCCAGCATGCCACTTCAGCCCTCTCTAGAGCCTGCATTCATCATATCTGGTTATACTCTGTACGACTCGCAACGCCGCTACAATGGCCTCCTGAGCCTTTCAAACCCTCCGGGAGACTCAATATCACCCCACCAAATCTCTAGAGATCCTCTGAGGCGCGATTCTTGCCTACAGCTCTCTGAACAGGTTTTTTCATCCAGTGCAGTAATGCGAAACCTCAAAGGGTTGTCACAGCCTACTAGAAAACCTTTTAGAAGGCTTACCGAGCCTCCAACTTATTACCACTGGATTACTGGAGTGAGTCAGAAGCCTGACTCATCCTCTCACGCTCTTTCACGAGTGCTTATCACGCTATCTAGTAGTCTCCGGAAGCTATTCAAATTCCCTACCCCAGCACTATCGCCCATGCCCTCCACTGGCAGAGGGCCCACCAATCCCTCCTGCATTAACATGCCAGTGAACTAGTTAGTAGATTTGTGCTCCACCCTCCCACGCTTTCCAGAAGGTGTACCGACCCCTCTTATGGTCTTCTGACCCTATTCTTGGTACTAACACCCCCCTCACCCTCTCTGAGGGCCCACAAGCCCTCCTGTAGTCTCCCGATGCAATTCTTGGCATTCGCACCACTTCTACACTCTCTAGAGGGCCTACCAAGCCCTCCTATTATCTTTCTACCCTATTTTTGGCACTGGCACTACTCTTACGGTCTTCTGAGCATAGTCAAATTATCACACTTCCCCCTATACCCCCTAAGGCTTATTGAGCCCTGGAAGAGGCTCCTGAGAGTGATCACTACTCTTGAAGGTGTTACCCAATTGATTCGGTTTCTGAGAGGCTCTAACGCTTCATAACCTCCGAATCTGATTACTCCTTAATAATAGCTTACAATTTCCCACATCTTTACCTAATAACGAAAGCATCCCTTCAAATAAATAAAAACATCGCACAAAAACACACGAAATCATTTATCCCTGGCAACGCATCGCCAGAGGCATTTGTCTAGGCTTCTTGAGCATTGGCCTCGCCCAAATCCCTCCCCGTCACCACTGGGTTTTCTGAGGCATCATCAGTCCCCAATAATATAGTCCGGTCCCGCTGAGCGTTCCGGCGCACTTTCGCGGCCCTCCATGCTGCAATGTCTGCTGCCAACTGCACATCGTCCTCTTCCCTTCCAATTTTGGATATCATCTCTCGAGGGCCTCGCAATTCCTCAATCTACAGGACTATCAGTCTCCATCAATTGCGTGCGCGTCTAATGTTTTTACCTTATTTTGAATAGACTTTCTTATTACCTCCAGAGTCCCCAGCTGGTTTTCCTGCATTCTTTCTCCAAATATTAAACATTCTGGCGTACGTGACTAGGCAAAAGTTAGTATGTCGGGACTCCTAAAGGGCTTGATAAGCATTACACAAGATATCGTTATTTGGCTAGTGTTTAAAGTACATTCCTTACACATAATTACCTGTTGTCCAACATCGCAAAACAAACCAAATAGCAGTGCAAACTATACAGATGAATTAAGGAGATATATCATCTATGGACTTAGGATCCTTCTCTACACGTATTTTGTCACATTGTTATATTTTAGAAATATTACTTCAACGATCTCTGTGGCCCAAAAGTGTCCACGACCTGTCTAATAGATGTTAGACCCTTACACATGATGATTGAGCCTTTGAAATAGCCTGTAAAGCCCCACAGAACTTTGAAAGTAGCTCTTACGGCATAGTTGTCGGGTCACTAATGAAACGATTATTCTCGAGTAGATAGTTAACTTTGTCAGCCCTCGTCTCTGTGGTTGTTAGGTCTTTCAAGCCATATAAGAGGCCTTTCATATAACGGAGCCATTTCAACTGTCTGGTATTGTAACGGGGGTGCTATGATAGGACACGACCGTGACTTCTATCAGGTAGAAATGGTAAAAAAGGAACGAACGAGTTATGATAGGGCGCATTCGATAGAAAGATAGAGTTTGTTTGTTTGATCGTTATTTGTAGTCTAGAAACTTAATAACTTTAAGGGGTTTTTTCGCTGATAAAGATCCGATAATTTTGAGAGGCCAACCTAGGGCATTACGGAGTTTCTTATAAAAGTTCAGCATCCTTATTCAGATTCATTGTTCTGATCGCAGTCTGACTGTCAATAGTTGGGGGCACAGTGACTATTTCCTATGAGAGGCAAGAGGAGTTGCTACCACATCTCGGACGAACTTCCGTCCGAGTCAAATCGCGCAATCTCTGTCAAGAGCTGGTCGGGATCCTAAGTACTAGCAAGAAACAACATCAGCAAGCTCGCCTATTACCCAGGGCGCAGCCCCTACGTCCTGGCGGGCATTCTGCGCCACGAGCGCCCAGCGCGTCCGGCACCGCCAGAGTACAACCTTCGCGCCAGGCTCCGCCGCAGGACCGTCCCACTCTCTGGGACCGCCAGGAGATATGCCTCACGTCCGGAGGGCACTCGCCAATGCTCTGGTCGCCTGGGCCGCCATGAGATTCCCTCCCCCTCCGGAGACGCTAGGATGGAGTGACTCCGCCCACAGCACCTAGGAACTTTTGCTTCTTTTGATTACGTCAGTAGTACACGCGAGCACTTCCCAATGCTCTCACAGTTTTCTTGAATGCTCTCACGGCACGACGAATGCTCTCACGGCACGGCGAATGCTCTCACGGCACCGCGAATGCTCTCACAGCACCGCGAATACTCCCGCGAATGCTCCCGCGAACGCTCCCGCGAACGCTCCCGCGAATGCTCCGCGAATGCTCCCGCGAACGCTCCCGCGAACGCTCCCGCGAGGGCTTCCGCGAGTACTCCCAGAGCACTCACCAGTGCTCACAGAGCTGAGGCATTCGTCATACCCACTCAAGGTGAGGCAACCCTCACTTGGGCTCCTTTGGATTGATACACCGTCCTCAAAGGATAGGAAGGCCGCACCAGTCCCTCAAAAGATATCTAACGTGGGTATCCTCAACGCCGCTGTACGGTCAGTCGCGGGATACTGATACGAGCACTGTCCTGTATACTGGTGACGACTACCCAACCTTTGACGGACGTGTATGTTTCTGTCGATTCGTGAAAGGCATAATTAGCCTTGAGGTTGAGGCCATGGTACGGCTCGTCTGAAAAGCTCAATGTCCATGCATAAGCAGCAAACATGGACTGGCATTGACCTCCTGGAGCGAGCTTGCTGGATAGCCAGACTCAGATACTGAGCGGCCGAAACTTTACCTCCTTCTTCCAATCCGCATGCATAGCAGAACGACACGAATTTTGAATTAGAGAGTCCAATTGGGTCTAACGTTCCTAGAGCACTCAAGAATGCCCTCACGGCTTTACAAGTATTCAACTAAATTCATTCCACGTACGCAAGTCTATCCTAGTATTTACCAACCAATTACCAGTCTCCACCTCAAACAAATGGGCCATTCCCAATATACTCCGAATATTAACGACCCACATCCTCTTCCTCCTCCTCCTACAAACCTTCAGGAGCCCATGTGAGCTATCAGCGATACCACGATCCTTTGCCTCGAGTAGCTCCACTATACATAGTCTATGTGCTCGCCCCCCACTGTCCCGCAGCTTGAACAAAGCCTCGACACGTCCTGGTAAGCGTCCCCGAAACACTCCCCACTCCTCTGAGGACGCTACCGACACCCATACCCAATCCTTTCTTATTTTCCCTTTCCTAAAAGCCGCGTTTCCCGTACACCTGATATTGTGAACTCGTACACCTCAGGTCTTTGGAAGATTGGTATCGGAACCTGCAAACATGTGAACATCTCCACCCGGCGCTCTAAAATGCTCTCAGAGCTTCCGGCAAAGCTTTGAGAGCATCCCGTATCCTCTGCATACTCCTTTATCAGGCGATATAACGTGGTATGGCTTATTTGCAGTCCATCCGCAATATTGAAAAGTCTTTCCGATTTCGTGGAGGGGTTGCAAAGACGCCTTAGAGGCAGTCGGCCTTCTACTATGGATCGTTCATTTGGTGTTTTTTTCCGGTCTTCGATTTTAAAAATCTCAAGTAACTCCTTCAGGTTATCTCGATGGCTCCAAAGGATGTCGTCAGTGCTCTCAGGACCTCCAACAATGTCTTTCAGATTCAGCATTCGAATCTCTAACGCCAACCGCCGCCCCCCATAGTCCAGTATCTGCGTTGCAGCATCGACCTTGTTGGATGCTCCGTATGCCTCTTTTACCTGACGTACATGGGCGAGTTCGCTGATGTCGGTGGAGTACTGGGGAATGCTCCCAAAGCGCTCGACATGTTCCCGATAGTGCGTTAACACGTGCAATTTGATGAAGTTGAAGTGAGACCTTTCCCGTATCTCGCGAATCTCCTCCAAACCTCGCTGAGCGCTCTGGGAGCCTGAGGTCTTCACAGCTTTTGTCCGATCTCTCGCATCCTTAACCGTCCTCTTGTACGCCCGGAATTCTAAAAAGATATCCTTGTGCTTATGGAAATCCTCGAGATAGCTCTCCATATAATTCAGTGTGCTCGTCGTATGACTCCCATACTGCGCCATTAAGTGGAAGTCGATTAAGCCTCGTACACATTTCAATGCCTTTGCAAAGTCGCCCCTGACAGCCACCCCCGGGTTTCTCAAAGCAGCCGCGAGTGCTCCAAGAACGACCCGCCCCAGATTTCTCATCTCCTTCCCTTGCCATTGGGTTGTGGCACGATATGCCTTGTTCAGTACTGCCAGTCCAGGGTAAGGCGCAATCGAGGCCCAAGCCTTGTCAAATTCCTCCAATCGATTGTGCTTCTTCAAGAAAGCCTGAACCCACTCCATCATGTGCTTCAACATCCCTAGGTAGATATTGTGCAGAATGTCCGGTTTGTTGAGATCGTATGGATAACCCTCGGCATACCCCAGAAAGCATTGAAGAGTGTCTTTACTGATCTCGCGACAAGGTATTCCACCGGTCCCAGGTTTCCCGGGTTCTCCCTGAATAGCTTTACCCTCTCCCTGTAATCCTCGTGATCGCGCGTAGGGCTCCGGCGAGTGCTCCCAAGACTGTGGAATTCCACCTCGCATCTTGGACAAGAGCTAGTACTAATATTTTGTAAGTTTGAATGCTCAGGTTGATCAGCGATCCAACCCGACAACACCGGAAAGCATAGACGTTGGTACCCGTCGGCGCATGCGATTAGCTCGCCTTCCTGAGAGCACTCCCGAATGCTCTGAAAGATCTCCCCAAGGGCGCGATGCAGCGCCATTTGACTCTGACGTCGTAAAGCGGAATTAGCGAGTGAGTTCTTCCCGAGCTTAGGTGGACTGGCAGTAGCCCTAGGAGAATTAACGAATGCCCGGTGGGCTTGCTCCGGACCGATGACTTGATGTTCCCGATGGTAAGATAGATTGGGCCAGGCTTTCTTGTCCCCACTAAAATTTGTCAAATGTGTGCCATCTGACGCGCATATAATTGGTACCACAGTCGACCCCTCCGGTAAGGTATTCTGTCCAGAAAGCATTAGCGACTGCCTCTAGAGCACTTGTGAGGCTTACCAGACCTGCGTCTCCCACCACCAATCTCCCGTATGCATTTCCCCGTACATTCTCTCGCCAGATTCATTATGCTCTACCACTGGCGCGTACACCAATGACTCCCGAAAGGCCCGTTGGCCTAGAAGATATCGCACAATTACCATTGGATCCCGGTAATAGTAAGGGATTTTCTCTCCCCCAATATCCACCTCCGAATGATGCCAGCTCGCCTTTCCCAATATGTCATTCATTTCGTCCAACCTCTTTATAAAACCTCGCCCAGTCCTGTAGGAGCATTCGCCACTGCTTGACGGAGCGTGTAGAAAGAAACTGTCGATATTTCCTTGTGAGGCCTTCGACAGTATGAAATAACGTGCCATTCTAAACTCGTATGCTGAGTTGAATGGGTGCCACGGGTATCGGAGAAGGTTTTGTGAGCATTCGTCGTAGTCCTTCCGAGCGGTAGAGACGCTCCCCAGCACCCTCGTAAATCGTTGTCGCTGCCTCATGCCTATTTGCATCTCCATCTGTCTCTTCCATCATAAAATATGATTCGGATTCCAGATCTGAATTATTATCGGGATCTTGGTCATGATAATTGATACTGTTGCTCTCCGAACTATCCGAGTCGTCATGGGCATCTGAATAGAATCGTGAATGCCTTCCGGGCTGTCGTGAGTGTCATCGGGTGCCTCTTGATCGCGCTCCAGGAGTAAAAATTGGTTTCCCAGCCATTCATCTGCTTCAAATGGATGTGTAGTTCGAAGATGTTTATCGAAGTTCGCGGAGGAGCTGTACCGCTTGCTGCAAAGGGGCAAGACGATTTCATTGAAGTCTCATGATGCTAGCAAAGCACTCCTGAGTGCTCTAAAAATTTGGTTTCTGCCAAGGCCGAGGAGGCTCTTTCCTGCAGGTGCTGCTGCAGAGTGCTCGAATGATTTGATTTGTCAGCCAATGAGGCTCCTCTCACCTGCACCCCGGTCGGCAAGGCTGATTTTCAATACGAGTCTGATGTCATACATCACCAACGTAATACAACATCAAACACCAACACGAAGAAACACCCACCACCCCAATCAGGCGGCCAGTTATGCTAGATTCTATCGCCTGAGCATCTGCACTCTCTCCCTGAGCACTCGCGGAGTCTCTTCAGATCGAGACAGTGTTCTCAGCGCCAAATTCAACACTAATATCGACTACGAGCTCAAAGAATACATTCTCTCCGAAATCAGTTTCCTAGAGGACAGAGTACCAACACCAACAAGAACACAAGCACCAACCCCAACACCAGAATGTTATCGACGTCACCATTGGTACCGTCAGAGCATCCCCGAGTGCGCCTGGAGCATTTAGATCAACGTCATATATTGAAGCAAACATTGAGTACGAGCACCCTCGAGTGCTTCTAGAGCATTCGTGGGTGCTCTCGGAAGCGTGATAAGCTCAAGAAAAAAGCTGATCGTACTCGGTATAAGAGCACCCCTCCCTTCCTTCAAGTTCGTGAGAAGTTCCTAACCACCTTCAAGTTCTCCCTACCTATCACTTCCAAGTTTTTCCATTGCTTTCAACATTGAAATCTCATCCTTCAAGTTCCTCCGTTTTCAAGCGATTTAACCTTTGCAATCTTTATAAATAAGATGGTATTTCTCTCTCCTAATCCAATTAATTTTAGAACCATACTCACCACAGTGATACATTAACATTATCAGACTCCAAACACCGCTCAGAGCACTCCCGTAGTAGCTCACAGAACACAAATCAACTTCCCAATAAGAAGCGCTTGCGTGACATAGACGAAGACGATAACGAAAAGACCCACCGAAAAACCAAGAAACACAAATCGTCCCGAAAACATAAGAAACACCGAACTTCCTCAGGTCGCAAATCGTCCCGCAAAACTGTCAAGCCTATCCCGGAGGAGATACCAGAAACACCCCCTAAGCAGTCGCCAGTGCTTTCCGGGTTCACCCCGATCAACAAGAGCCGAAAACAAAACCCTGTACCTCCACCAATCCGGACTGAAACCCGGACTCCGCCAAATACTAACCTAGCTCCATCGGACACTGAAGGGATCTTCCCGAGTAACTGGGGAGCAACCCTAACTGATTCCGACTCCTTTCCCGACTTTAGTTCCGAACCCTCTGAACCATACATAAGTGACGATCAAGACCCAGCAACAGGTCCAGCAACAGGCCCACTAGCAGCAGTCTCCACTGCTTCCTCAGCACGCAGCAGTGCTTCACCAGAGGCCCTTGTACGGACGACCGTACTTAGGGTTAGTGCTACCCCACCAGCACCCGCTAGTGCTCCACAAAAGAACGTTGCCCGGAAGACCATAGTCCCAAGTCAAGTTCTCACTCGGTCCAAGTCTAGTGCAGTCCGCTCAACAGGCCCAGCAACAGGCCGCTCAACAGGCCCAGCAGGCTCTACTACTCCCTCACCAGCACCCGTCAGTGCTCCACCGAAGGTTCTTGCACCGGAGACCCCTACATTCAAGCCCCGACGCCCCTCTCGGTTATTTTCTAGTGCAAGCCCGTCCGAACTAATAGACCACCCCTCACCAGTACGACAGAGACTAATTAGACCCGAGCCATCGCCGATTGTCCAAGAGACATCCCCGAGTGTTCAAGAGACATCCCCGAGTATTCAAGAGACATCCCCGAGCTCGACCGCATTCAAGATGACTCAAGCAAGCAAAGCGAAGATGACTTTAGGTCTACTCAACCTACCTAAAGTGTACACCAGCATCCGCAACAGCCTAAAGGCGGAAATGCAAAATGTGGGTTGGGTCAATAAAAGCACGTCCGGTATGGCTGCGTTCAATGCCCTATGCCTTTACTTGATGAACTTGCCCTCCCTCAACGGTTTTCTGCCAATTTGGACTGGGGGTGACTCCGATGCCCGTAGAGCACTGGCGAGTGCTCTACAGTGGCTCATCGCAGATGTTGGTATGAAGGATAGGTTATCAAGGGGACAGGGAGACCGTCAGTTCAAAGAGGCTGCCGGTGATAGTGATGATGATGATGACGGCGGTGGTCAGGCAGCCGGAAGACGCTCTCGCAAAGGGAAAGAGCGTGCAGTACCTCCGGAACTCGTGCGACCTTCCATAATGGTTACCGTGGTGGACCCCGATGCTCTAGGGGCATTCTTTATGCTCGTCCCACCACCTACTTATGACTGGAATGATCCCCTGAACGAACCTTCGTTCATCGGAATTTTGACCAAGATAACTTTCCCCGAGCTATGCAACTTGATCCTGAAGCACACCGCACCCGGCAGAGCAGTCAGGACTATCTGGGGGGCAATTGAGAATGTCCCCCCGGCAGCTGTTCCTCCCGTTCGGCCGGTGGAGGTACAAATTACCGATTCAGAGGAGCTCGAAGGTTGGTTGAAGAACAGCAATGCCAGGCCTCGGAGGATATTGGCGGTCCTCCACAGAGCAGGCGCGGGTGCTAACCTGGGTGGTGCGGAATCCCCCCCGTTGAACCCGGCTTTCCCTCACGTTGAGGAAGATGATTATAGCATGATCGATATTCCTGCAGAGGATTCGGATTACGAGGAGGGAAAGCACCGGATAAATGCCAAAGGACTGAGGGTATATATGCCTAGAACTGATGCCAGTAATCAAAGGCTAATTCAGACTCTTGTTAGGCGTCGCGATAGACAGCAGGATGCTATCGACGATTTAGACCCCAAATACCTTAGGAAGTATCCTTTGGGTGTCGGGGTTGCTGACCCAAACTTCTTACAGGGGACGATCTGGACACCTGCCGGGATAGCAGCCAAGAGAGCTGCTGACGCACTCGCGGCTGCTGGTGCTGGAGGTGGGTGGTGTGGTGGTGGTGGTGGGGTGGTGGTGGTGGAGGTGGTGGTGGTGGAGGTGGTGGTGGTGGTGGTGGTGGAGGTGGTGGTTGGCGGTGGTGGTGTGGTGGGGTGGTGGGGAGGTGGTGGTGGTGGAGGTGGTGGAGGTGGTGGTGGTGGAGGTGGTGGTGGTGGAGTGTGGTGGTGGAGGTGGTGTGGTGGTGGTGGTGGTGGTGGTGGGGTGGTGGTGGTGGTGGGTGGTGGGTGGTGGTGGTGGTGGTGGTGGTGGTGGTGGTCTAGGACCTCCACGCCTCCGGGCGGACCTCCTCCTCCTCCGGGCGGCGGTGGTGGTGGAGGACCAGCTGGAGGCGGTGGTGAGTGGTGGTGGTGGAGGCCACGTGGAGGCGGTGGGAGGTGGTGGTGGTTGGCTGGAGGCGGTGGTTGTGATGGTGGCGGTGGTGAGGTGGTGATGGTGGTGGGCATCATTAGTTCCCTTTGGTATAATCTCTAACTTTCCTTCCTGCGGAATTGTCACTAACCTTTTAATAGTTGTTAGGATTACTCCCTGAGCACTCGCGATAGCTATTGAGGTGCGGTACGATTTGGTGTTTTGGATTTCCCTTTGTCTTGCGAGAGTATATCAATGGATGGGTTATATCGGATAGGATTAGATTAGATTAGATTAGATTATTCCAGGTAGTAATTGCATTTGCTTTTATTTCAAAGTCGAATCAAACTCTAGATTGCTC